AATCCTAACTGGCGAAGCTCTGCCAGAAGGCTGTGGTTGAGAAATGATACGATGGGTCAACTTTACCTAATCTAACTCAACCTAATCCTAACTAACGAAGCTCTGCAAGAAGGCTATGGTTGCGAAATGATAAGATGCGCCAACTTAACCTAACCTAACCTAACACAACCTAATCCTAACTGGCGAAGCTCTGCCAGAAGTCTGTGGTTGAGAAATGATACGATGGGCCAACTTTACCTAACCTAACTCAACCTAATCCTAACTGACGAAGCTCTGCCAGAAGGCTGTGGTTGCGAAATGATAAGATGCGCCAACTTAACCTAACCTAACCTAACACAACCTAATCCTAACTGGCGAAGCTCTGCCAGAAGGCTGTGGTTGCGAAATGATAAGATGCGCCAACTTAACCTAACCTAACCTAACACAACCTAATCCTAACTGGCGAAGCTCTGCCAGAAGGCTGTGGTTGCGAAATGATAAGATGCGCCAACTTAACCTAACCTAACCTAACACAACCTAATCCTAACTGGCGAAGCTCTGCCAGAAGGCTGTGGTTGCGAAATGATAAGATGCGCCAACTTAACCTAACCTAACCTAACACAACCTAATCCTAACTGGCGAAGCTCTGCCAGAAGGCTGTGGTTGCGAAATGATATGATGCGCCAACTTAACCTAACCGTACAAATTCTGAACAAGCTATAACGGAAGCGAAGATAGATGAGCAGTGGCATGATGTGCTAACGAAATCCAATAAAAACTAACCTTACCTAACCCAATCTGAAGAAATTCAAAATTAAAGTTTTTATGAAAATTTTATAAATTTGTAAAAAAAAAAGTTTCGAAAAAAAATAATTATGAAAAGTTTTAAAAATTTAAGGAATTTTAAGTTCTTTAAAATAAGAAAAAGCAAATCTGATTATTTTAAAAATGTGAATACATTCCAAATATCAAAACATTTTAAATAATCTGAAAACGTCAGATTCTTTCAGCATAGTTATATTTTAGCGTCCTGTTGCACTGATTTAAGTTCATGATTTGTTTAATCCGTCTTGCAGTGCGTACACTTATCTCTCTTCTTCTCTCACTCTCACTACATGTTTCGGCATAAAAATGCCATCTTCAAGTGCTACTCAATTCACGTCAAACTAGTACATTGTATGCCTTGTCTTCACTTTAAAATAACTAAAATATATGTCCATCATATATATTGACAAATGTCAATCAATGTCAGCGTATCAAACGGTTTTAATTTGCAAAAATTAAGGCGGCCAAAATAATTGCAAAATTGTGATTGAACTGAAAATTTTCGAAAATTTAAAAATAATGTCAGAAATTTTTAAAACTTCGGAAATCTCCATAACTCATACAATTTTATCGTTTTCGAAGATTTAATATACTTAAAAGAAATTTAGAAACTTTCAAGGCAGTGGTGGTTGAGGCGGTTCATGCTGATGAACCAATCAAACCAATCATAACATAGTCCCATTTAATTTGGCGATGATATGCCGAAAAGAGTAGGTTCTATTAACAGTGATTTCATGCGTCAACCTAACCTAACTGAAGTTAACCCTTAATTGCGAAGTTTCACCGTAATCCACAGTGAATATACAGTTGCCTGATACGTCAATCCAACCTACTCCAACACAATCTCACCAAACTCTAGCCGAATGCACAGGCGGATGTTCTGTGTTTTGTTGAGACAACATGTTTACATACCACTTCTTTTTTGACCCAGTTTAATATAATCCGACAATCTCTATCCAGGTTTCCAAAATTTTCTCTTCTCTCCAGTAAAATTCTGCATAAATTTCTTGTCTCTCTCCCATGCTTCAGTCTTTATAGGGAAATATTACAAGTGTAATTTAAAGGTATGGAGCAAAAGTTACCAGTAAAGGACATTAATTTCAATATATACATATATTCTTGTTAATGTGCAAAATCAAAATAAGCAAACAAGAATTTCTAAGGAGCAGTTCACATCAAGACCTCTAAGAAGAAACAAGTATGAAATACATCCATGTCACTCCCTTAAGAAAAATATTCGAGCCGCTAAATCAAATCACATATTTGTTCCTACAGTTTCGTTTTATTTGTGGATCTAACGGTACTAAAATTTATGGATTAATAGCATTGATGTTCAGTGCATAGGTGTCTTCCCCATCTGTGAGAAAGAGGCACTGCAACTGACGAAATAAAATTATCTTCGCGTGCCATTTATTTACAGGTGACGCTCAAATGCTTCAATTAATCTTCTTGTGTGGTTTAAGCGTTATATATATACAGTTTAAAACAGCTGCTTCAAATTTCATAACACTTTCATAAGGTAAAAAAATAATAAACGTGGAGAGATTTTCAGAGTAATGGAATTAAGGGAGAATAACAATAACATTGGAGTGTGGAGTAGACCGTTCCGTGAAGAAGAGACAAGACAGACGGACGGACAGACAAGCTATCATCTCCAGCCCCCCCACACTAGTCAAGTGGTGCAGCATGGTTTCCGTCATGTCCTAACAAAGGACATATCAAATTAGTACATTTTCCAGCCCACAAATAAACAATATGTCAGACACAAACCATGCCAAAAAACGTTTGTTAGACTCAACTGTTAAAGAATGTTGAACGTGATGAAATGGTTGCTGTATCATCACTTTTATGGTTTCTTTTTTCTCGGTTTCACTGACTATTTCAGTCTGTCTCGTCTTCTCTCTATTCGGGAGGCTACATTATAAATGTAGCCTGTCAGAAACATTTTAAAAAAGTGTTATCCATTGATGTTTTGTTTCATTATTCTGTGTTGGAGAAGGTTTTACACTGAACATACTACAACCGCCGACTGAACAGAGTTACAGAGTTCGGGCTAAGTTTCACTGGTCCACCTGTAGATATAACCATTGTAAGGGGGACTTCGTTTGATTGAAACGCCACGTTTCTGTATTCTTTATGCCAGTTAACACATAATGGGGGAGCATACATTCTTAAAAAGTTTTGCACTACCCATTTTAACATTAAACATTCTGCGTTTAGTCAACACAGTATGTTTACGTGCTTCATACGGTTCCCAGAATGAAGAGTGATTATTTCCCTAACCAGCAGTAACTGGCTAGTGTTTGTAATAGTGAAGCAGTTTGTTTTCTGTGACATATAAAATCAATTATTAAGCAATATGAGCAGAGCAATACGTTGCTACATAATCAAAGTAAAAAATGTCAAGTTGTCCCTATGCTTAATTAAGCAGCACGCAATGAAGACGCGTGGGGGAGTGGAGATATAGCACCACCATTCTTGACTTTGGCACTAGATGGAGGTGAGTGGTCAGCTACACGTTCCTGCCACTTTACCCCCGGGAAAAGAGCCCCCGGTACCCATTGCACAGGAGGCTGGGTGGGCCACAGAGCCCGTCTGGACGATACGGAGAAGAGAAAAACATTGCCCTGCTACCTAAGTACCTCACTGAACTTATTTATCTATTTTCACTTTATTAAAGGTAAAGGTAAAATTGTCCCTGTGCCTAATTAAGTCCCACACCATGAAAATGCAGGGAGAGTAGAGGTATCGCTGCAATATTCTTAACCTCGGCACTAGTTGGAGATGGTCAGCTTCACGCCCAGGCCGTCTTAGAAAATGTGGGAGCCCCAACATCTCACAACCCTATGGGCCTCCACGGCCTGTTATTTATATACCTTCACTTTTTGTTTTTACTATACTGTCAACTTACACAACCCTCACATGGATGAGTCACTATTTAGACAACAGGTATTCATCAAGAGAGTAGTACAAGTGTGTGATTAAGTACCATTTTAGTGCTATTTTAATGCATGCTTTTTCTTCATAAGACTTTTGATATCCAATAGCAGTTTACTGAAGATTTTGATCCCAGTAAAATATGCGCTTTTCTGAAACATGACAGGTTAGCAGTTGGTTTATGAAGACAGTGCTTGTGTCTTACGTTAATGCTGGGTACACCTGCATTGGTCTGAAAAACTTCAACGTTATTTGTGATGAAGTTTGTTAATGAATATATATTTTCACATGGAAATTTAGGATCTGTAGTCTCTTAAATAGGTCTCTGAGAGAGTTACGAAATTTGATACCCATCCCGATTCTACTAATTTTCTTTTTCAATATATATCTTTTTACTGTCAGATGAATTACCACCAGAAATTATTCCATACTTCATTAGAGAGTGAAAGTAAGCAAAGTAGATTGGAGGATGTCAATGCTGGTGATATGCAACGTAAATCTACCTGCAAAACATGCTCCAGTTAACTTTGGAACCAGCTGATCTATATGGGTTTCCCAGTTTAGGTGATTATCAATTTGTACATCAATGAATTTTGTATTTACTCCTTCTTTTGTATGATCATCATTATATCCAATATTTAATGGAAACAGTGGTGAATTTTTTGATATAAATTTTATTATATTTGTTTTATCTAGGTTCAGGGATAGCTTGTTTGCAGTGAACCATTTGCTTGTTTGAGAAAGAACTCTGATAGGGTGCAGAAATCATCTAAAGTTTTGCTAGAAATTATAACGCTAGTGTCATCAGCAAATAGTATGGGGTTTGATGAGGCGTTCAAAGTAGGAGAAAGGTCATTTATATAAATTATGAAAAGCAAAGGTCCTAAAATTGACCACTTGGGAACTCCATGCTTCTGAGTACATTTAATAGTGCAGCTTGTTAGGCTATTTACAGTTAGGAAACTGAATTAATGTGATCAGTACCTTAGGAATTAAATTATCACAATGGTAACGGAAGCGACAATAATTAAACATGTTAGATTATTTCTATAAATTTCATTGTAACCACATAAATTCAATGACTTCACAGATTCCTATACACAGAAGAATCCTGATTTATATATACAAATAATACGTTTAATATGGAGATGTGACTTCGTGCGTAAATGTTTCCCGTTTTACCAGGATACCAAATTCAAATCAAAACTTACCATCCAGCAGAGAACAAGAAGTAACTTCTAAATTATTCGTAATTATTTCCAAACACCACATCCTACACGAACACGAACACATGTTAAGACACGCGTTTTGTTATGGGCTCTGTGATTGGTTCAGACTAATTATGACAGCTGTATTGTGATTGGTAAAGTTGGGCGACAAGTGTAATCTTGGTCCCATAGATGGCAGCAAACATCGCACATGTCTCACTTTCCTCCGCGCCAATTATTTTTTGAGGGGGGGGGGGCTGATGTAACTTCATCCTGGTCAGCGCTACAGTTGAGCGATGGTGCTGCGATCCATGTGCAGAAATTTATACCAAGTGGATACGCCGTGTGCGGATCACTCTGGCTCCAAGCAGCAGGCAAACGACGCACTGATACCAACACGATAAAGCTTGAAAGTTCATACTTAATTTGTATCATCATGTTAGTGCCTGACCATTGTGGTTGTGGATAATGAGCTAAATGTGCTTCAGGAACTGGAAGTGGATCTTTAATGTTTCCACTCCCAAGGCAGCATCTATACTGAAAGTTAAATTCTTGCAGAAGATAGATAAGGCATCAAATTTTAATAAAATATTTAAGACCACACACTACACACACTACAGGCTTTAATTCTTCTTAGAGTGTTGTAAGTATATTAATCATCAAGACTTCACAAGACTGGTCTAATCACAACCTGCGACACTGGTTGTTTTCTAGTGCCTCTAGGTATGAACTGTGTGGACTTTCCTCATCTGTCAGCCCAAGGCCACAGAATCCATTTCAGAAGTTCAGGAACAACCAGAGAGTAGACTGAATTATCAAGGATCATATGAGTGGCTGTGCTATGCTGTATCACCTAGAATTCTGGACGATGATAAAGGTCCAAAAACCCAGTAATTCTGTTAAAATAATGGTTGGCTAAAGGACCCAGGAATAGGAGGGAAAGCTGGCATTCTTCACATGTCCCTTTTTATCTTTGTTGAGAATTGATGATTTTTTAAATAATGCTATAAATATCATACTGGGGATCAAATTCAGCATCTTATGGCTGACAGTCCAATGTTGTACCCCAAGATCATTAAATTTTCAATCTTGATCTTTCTGAAGCACCTCATGTAGAGTGATTTCCAAATTGTCCTGTGGCATGGCTGCATGGCCCTGCTTGTATAGAAATGAATCCACTCTCCCATTCTCTATCCAGTGGTAGTCATAAAGATCTGCTCTCTTATATAATATTACAAATAAAATTTTGATTTAAAAAGCTGAAGATATAACCAGCTACTGAGAACATGCATACAAAGGGGGCATAAACATGGACACTGGAAAATGGAAATAACATGGAATGAGGAGAGATTTTTATTCTCAGACAAACACATTTTAGTGTAAACGATATGCAATAGCCTGAAAATATATTGACTAAAATCTAGTGCAGTGCAATGGTTTACAAACAGTGACCAATTGCCTGAAGATGGCCAAGTAAGGATGAAACATGAAGCAACTGGGGTGATTTTTATGTTATTTTAAATTAAAGAAAGTTGTATTAAAGGTGGAGGTGAAGGTGTGTGACACATTAATGCAACAGGATGCTCAAATATAATATTGTGTTTATAAAAAAACAACATAAACATTAATTAAAATCAGGGTTTTCAATGTTGGCTGGATTCATCTGGTCCAATGGTGGACCCTATGAACAAGCATAATGAACCATTATGTTCTTTACTGCATGTCACCTAACATGGTGATAAGACACCTGCAGTAATGTACAACGTGTGATAAATATCGTGTCAGTATGATGCATTTCTTCTCTGTAGCATTTTCCCATTGACAAGACAGTTACATGGCTTCACAGTGTTTATTGCAGAAGACACAGAGTTCTATGTCTTAGGCAACATGTAAGCAGAAATGAGGGACAATCCAGCATTTTCAGTTTCTTTTAGAATGTGTGGAGAAATATCCATATTTATGGAACATCTCATTGAAAGAATATAACAAAAGATGAGTGATAGATTGCATGTGGAAAGCAATATGAGGAGAAATTAAATTTCAGGTTTAGTTTAGTTTTTAATTTATACTTTGGTTGCAGAAAAAAATGCAATAGTAAAAAATCATGACTGCTTTGAAAAGGTATTGACTTGACTGATGCATGTCAGAAAAACACGTCATCAAAAAAGGTATATTTGTGAATTAAATTTAAAATAGAATCCCTCTCATAAGATGGATGAGATAATGCAAAATAGTCATTGTATGCTACCACAATGGACATGGGGACAGACACTACTATCAGCAATGGAACGTCTGATTATTAATACTTAATACCATGTTCAGAAGGTTTTTGAATATCACAATGCTGATTTTATAAGACCATCAAATTTCACCAGTTCAGAAAATGTCTGTAGAACATTTTCAGTTAAATCATATCTTGTGGGTGAGCAAACTCATAATCCTATGACAGGTATCATGTTTTCTGCATATCTCATGCCTTATTATCTTGGTGAGTGACCCCTCTAGCAGTTGGACAATTACTTGAGCATCTGTTCTATGCAGTTTGTTACAGTTTCATAAAACCACCAATCATTCTTAAGAGACCCGGAGTGCATTAGTGAAAAACTGCCATTTAGTTGCAAAGATGGCCGGCATCATTGTCTGAGGAGGGATGCAGATTTAAGAAATTCCTACACTTTTGTACTAAGGTAATATGAGTCTCTGGACTAAATACACATGACATGCAAGAGCCATTCTATTACAACTCCATCTCTTGTTTAGTCATTAGATCTTCTGGAAAACTGTTATTACTTCAATGAATTTGATTTGTTTCATTCTAGTCCATCACACTTATATAATGAAAAAGCTAAATAGTTCCGTCCAGTGTGACTGGTTAAAAAAAGAATCTTAACCAGTCACACTGGATGGAACTATTTAACTTTTTCATGTTATTACTTCCTTTAATATTTTAAATGGAAAGTGTTCTTGAATTTCTGTGTAATTTCTGTGTAATACAGTTACGTTCAAATTTGATGATGTCAGTGCTGTCTTGTTCATGAACATTAGTAATTTATATGGATTATATGAGAAATTTAGACTTCTGTACAGCTGAAGTAATTCTATCTGAAGAGTTGTATCATCTGGGATACAATTCCTTGTGGTCTATTGAAAGCCATACAAAGTTTTGGAGGAATATGTCACCTCTATCTTCAGGGTTGGAGAATAAGCCAATGAAGAAATTGGTGTGAAAGCAGATAGCAAACAGAACTTGAACTCTTCATAACCACTGCTCTGAGAACCTCAGATCCTACTTGTTTCTGTTTAATAGCACCCGAGGAGTAGTGGAGAAGAGAATTATATAACAAGTAAAGGAATTTCCCAACTGTGGATCACTGTGAGATTATACTACTCACTGCCTACAAGGGATCTACATACAGGTACATTAGAACATTCGTTGTCTACTGCATTCGTGTCCATTCTTTCTGTACTGTCAACAACTCGTAGTTGCTGCAGCATGAACGCGTTTCAGTAATATAAAGTTGCTTAAAGTGAAAACATAAAAATGTAGTCAAATCAAACAGCAGCAGATGATTGGTGGCAATAACATTGCTTGTCACACTGTAACAAAGAGGTACAAATTTCTAATACTTCTAATAAGTATCACAGTTGACTATTTTTAAAACACAGGTGCCCATTTCTAATATGCACACACCTATTTTAAAAAGTATCTAAAATGACAAAGGGCCCTTTACAAATACAAAACAACACTAAGTTTCAGTCATTCTATTTTACCGATTTCAGTATATCAAATCCTGTTTCGAAGCTTACACTTTCATACGTTTGAGTAAACATGAAGTGACAGAAAAATGTCATAGTTCTCCAAAATAAAACTGATCTTTTATGAATCAATTGAAAATACTCAGTTTCAGCTTCTTTAAATGCATATGATTATAAACATCTTCATCAGTATCAGAACCCAGTTACTGAATTACACAACAATCTCTGCAATGAAATCTTCTTGTGTCATCAGCCACTTGAAAAGTAACTCCAAGTTTCATACTGATATGGCTGACAGCACAAGAAGACTTCACTGCAATCAACTGATGTGAAAGCTTCAAACCTTATAAAGCAATCCCCCTCCCCCTTCCAGTCTTCTTGGATGTACCTTCCTGGGCACTCCTTCATCAATCCGGAGTAGAATGAACTGGGGCTGACTTTATGGCTGCTTCATATTCAGGTTGAAAATGCTGACAGCCTTCATCTCTGGTAGGTAGAAACTGCAACTTTTCCACTGCTGTCTTCTCATCCAAACTAAGAAAGAATGACAATTATATAAAGCTTAACACAATTCTCAATTACAGCCCATCTCCTAAAGATTGCAATAACTGTTAGCATTCCCTGGATAATACATATAATTAAAACCTAGAAGCAAATTCATTGCAGTATGACTGTACAAACACAACATTAGTCATCAGCAGGGCCAAGATTTTGATGACATGTCATCTTTTTTCCTTTGTACCCTATGCAATGCTCTTAAATATATAAATCTTGGATATGAGCTGCTGGTTACAGAAATGTAAATTTTATAGGTATTTTTTGTCATTTTTTTACTTTTTAGGTTTAAGGTCATTTTTTCATTTTGGGGGTAATTTTTTTTGGTAATTTTTTTGACTCTTAAGGGTATTTCTTGTCATTTTTGGCCATTTTAGGGAATTTTTCTTCATATGTTTTCTGAAATGTGAATAACATGGAAGCGAAGTGTTCTTTCTTTTCTCCTTTAGATCATTTTTCTGGATTTTTTTCGTTCATTTTATAGGTCATTTTTTAAATATTTTCAGGTCATCAAAATTCAGGCCCTGGTCATCAGTTTCGGTTTCCAAATAATGCTTCTGTCAGCTTCTGAAGAAACACATTCGTACCAGTGACACCACGGAGTTGTGCAAAGGTGTGAACACTAACAGTGCTCCTCCATCAGGCTCCAGCTGAGAAGTTTCATCTCCAGGAGGAGTAGCTTTTCAGTAATGGTATGAATTCCTGTGAACAAAGATCTGTAAGGAGATTCTTTGCACTCATGTGACAATAAAACTTGTTCAAACCTGCCTTTCCATCATCAGCTGAACTCTCATGTATTTTACAAGTTCACACAGTGCAAATAAAGACCTTAGTTCCCCATGGGAAACAGGATAATAGCTAGTATTCCCTGAGACATTCTGCACTGTTCTATCACATTCGATAAACCATGGCCAATGTATTCTGTTTTGCCATTCACCTGATGTCCCTCACACCATTTCATCTGACCAGTACACTCCATGCATTCTTTGTAATACTAAACATATTCTTCTAGCCTACTTGTGACTGGAAGTTCACAGAGCCATTGTTAAAAGTAGATGTTACCAACTGGACGTCAATAATGTCATGCAGGTTTGCATAAAACTATATATATTGTTGCAAGATGGACTACTATAATCTTCAGCCTTTCACCCAGTAAGTTCTGTTTACTTCACATATTAAGTGCTTTCCATGTTCAGGAAGTCTTTAATTAGCAATTTTATGTACATGAAATCAAGATCAGCAAAAACAAATATTTCAGAAATAGACTTATTTCTCGCTGTTTCAGTTCACCATGTACTTTTGTAGTGTAAATTTAGGATAGTATAAATAAATGTAAATTTGGGTAAAGTTTTATGGGCCTTTCATTTATTATCTACAAAGCCACACTGTTGGGCTTACCTGGAATACTTACTGCATAACCCTTTATCACATTCCTATCTCCAAAACCCATAATATTGGTCAATGATATTTGTGCTACAATATTAGGACAGACTGAAAGAGACAGGGTACCTATGTCAGTGATCGCTACTAGTTGCTCACCCAACTAGCAAAGCTGTTGTCTGGCAAGACAACAATGCTCATTAAAATAGTTACTTTTGGTAAGCCATCTATCAACTACACTTCTGTTTAAGGTTTTTAGGTTTCTGTTGTAATTGTACATACCTATCACAAAGAGGATTTTGTTATTTTCCCTAGTGACCATCTGTTGGACTTTAACCCTAGCTATAAAAGATTTTATTATCATTTTCTTGTGGTTTTGGCATTTTTCTCAAAGTCTGCCAAAGAATCCAAATGATATATGTTAACGTTCATTTATGCCTTGAAGTGAAAAGGCTGTTAAAATGAATCATATTAAAAAAGATGGTCATCTAATTTTGAATATCTGAACGTTATCTGTAATTAACATCCAACATGTCATACACATCTGCTACAGGAGTTCCTCTGTTTGTGCATAAGGGAAACTTCTAGGGAGCTCCTTATTTAGTCTCACATTTGCAGGCTGTGTGTAAGGGGTAACTTTGTAACCTGGAAAAACACTTTTCTCACAGACATCTGCAGCATCATTAAACCAGAATAATAATTACACACTGCTTTACATAATTTTGTATAATCTGCCTATTAATGCTTCAACTGATTATGCCAACTGCAATATAGACATTTAAAATGTATATCTCTTCTAGGACATATAT